GAGCAGGGAGCCTGATGCGGGGCTCGATCCCAGGACCCTGGGATCATGACCCGAGCCGAAGGCAGACGCTTAACGACTGAGCCACCCAGGCACCCCCTAAAGCCTAGTTTCTAAAGTCAAATCTGGGTTTGTTATTGATTGTGCCACTGATTTGCTGTGTCTTACTAGGACCTCAATGTCCTCACCTGTAAAATGGGACAATTATTTTTTTAAGTAATCAAACTCACAACCCTGAGATCAAGAGTCCCACGCTCTGCCAACTGAGCAAGCCAGGCGCTCTTGGGACAAGTCTTACTCCAAAGACTGTTAACGTTAAGAATGTAGTACCTGGTGAACAGTAAGTGCTCAATATTTACGTGATTAACAGACTGCTGTGAGGATAACAGCGAATGCTTTCAGTATATATGATATGCAAAGGACTACTCTGTAAAGTTTTATATCTAAATCAATTTGATCCAACAATCCTGTTAGGAATGTTCTTGTTACAACCCCCACCTTCAGATGAAGAAACAGCCACAGAGAGGTTAAGTAGCAATGGCAGAGCACAATATCCAAACCCAGGCAGTTTGACACCTGAATTGAAAGGTATGCAATGCTACCTCCTCGGTGATAGAGTGCAATGAAGTGCTTAACAGTGTACCACGATGGGAGCTGCTCAAACGAGTATCTTCAGGGGGTCAGTTTTTTTTTTTTTAAGTTTATTTATTTACTCTCTACCCCTAACGTGGGGCTCCAACTCACAGCGTTGCGATCAAGAGTCACGTGCTCTCCTGACAGCCAGCCAGGCACGGGGGTTGGGGGGGTGGGTCACTTTTTCTGAGCGCGATTGGCGGGCTGAACCGGAAAACTAGCGGCTGGAGAAGAGGGCCAGGGGAACTACAACACCCACAAGGCTCCGCGCCTTCCTCTGAGGGACTCCCGATTGACTTGCGTTCTGAGACAGATCATTGGCTCTCTGAGGGAGGCCTGGCGAGGATTGGAAGGCGGGAGCAGTGCTAGTTTAAGATTGGCAAAACTACTGCCAGCCCCGCCTCAAAAACCCGGAAGTAATCCCCCACAGGCCCGTGTGTAGTGGTGTAGCAGAGAAACGCGAGTTTGGGTTCGTGGAGGGATGATCCGAGGGCTGCGCACTGACTTCCCAGCCCCGCCGCTCTCACTAAGTGACTCTGACTTATTGAGGGCTGCTTTTGAGGACGCGGGGCCTGAGGCTGACCGAGGGAGGTCCCCGCTGCTTCCCGCCACCCAAGCGGTGCCTCATGGAGTCTACGTTCAGCAGCCCCGCTGAGGCAGCGCTGCAGCGAGAGGCGGGTGCCGCAGGGCTGCTCACTCCTCCGGAAGACCTGGACCGCGTCTACGAGCTGGAGCGAGTCGCTGGATTTGTCCGCGACCTGGAGTGTCGGCGGGTGAGGGCAGGTTAGGGTGGGGTGGCTCACTTCGGGATAGGTCGCCCAGAAGATCGGGATGTTGGGGTAATTTTGTGAGGATGGGGGGGTGGGGGTGGACGGGGGGAGTTGCTCCTCTGGGAGGAGGGGCTTTGAAGGTTAGATAGGGACTCCTGGAAGGTTTTCCTTGAGGAGGAAGAGGGTGGAGGAGAGAGGCTGTTCCTGACTCTCTGGCTTATACTTACAGGTGGCCTTGCAGTTCCCTGACCAGCTATTGGGAGATGCTGGGGCCGTGGCTGCACGATTGGAGGGGACCACAGGGTCGAAGATGTTCATTCTGGGAGACACGGCCTATGGAAGGTATGAATTTGAGCTTGAGGATTGGGGGCGGGGGTAGGGGGTGGGGAGTAGGTCTAGTGATCCAAGGTTCTTGGTGTTGTCCTTCTATGACAGTGTCTGCCCCCAGTGGCTGTGTTTTTCCTTGATGATGATGCCTCCTCTTCTGATACTTGCTCCCCGGAATGACAGTGTCTTCTTTTATAACATCATTTATTTCACTGACCACATTTCAGGCTTCACATTTCCCATGAAGCACAGCAACTGTTTTCCTGATGAGAACTCTTCTTACTAATGGTATCTCCCCTGCAGCTGCTGTGTGGATGTACTGGGTGCTGAGCAAGCTGGAGCTCAGGCCCTTGTACATTTTGGCCCTGCCTGCTTAAGCCCTCCAGCCCGCCCACTGCCTGTGGCCTTCGTCCTTGGTCAACGTTCTGTGCACTTGGAGCTCTGCGTCAAGGCCTTTGAGGCCCAGAACCCAGACCCCAAAGTGCCTGTGGTGCTGCTAAGTGAGCCGGGCTGTGCCCACGCCTTGGGTGAGGGTTTTTGCCTGGGCATGCAAGAAGGGTAGACCAACTATTTTATGCCTTGATATTCCCATTTCAGTACACTCCCATAGAGCTCTTGATATGGGCTTAATCCCCAGTCTTTGCTTTTGGGTCATATTCAGTCTCCTGGGGTGAAGGGGTTCCTGCTTTGGTAAACCCCAACTCTGACATCACTTCCTTCTTCCAGAGGCCTTGGCCACTCTTCTGCGCCCGCAGTACCTGGACCTGCTTGTCTCCAGCCCAGCTCTTCCACTGCCAGTGGGCTCCTGTAGGCCGGAGCCTGAGCCCCTGGAGCGTTTTGGGCGCCGCTTCCCCCTGGCTCCAGGGAGGTGTCTGGAAGAATATGGTGCCTTCTATGTGGGGGGCTCTGAAGCCAGTGCTGACCTTGACCTTGACCCAGACCTGAGCCGGCTGCTCTTGGGCTGGGCACCAGGGCAGCCCTTCTTCACCTGCTGTCCGGATACAGGGCGGACTCAGGATGAAGGTGTCCGGGCTGGGCGGCTAAGGGCACGTAGACACTATCTGGTAGAGAGGGCCAGAGATGCCCGTGTGGTAGGGCTGTTGGCAGGGACACTGGGTGTGGCCCGACACCGTGAGGCACTGGCACACTTGCGGAACCTGGCTCAGGCTGCAGGCAAGCGTAGCTATGTGTTGGCCCTGGGGCGGCCCACACCTCCCAAGCTCGCCAACTTCCCTGAGGTGGATGTCTTTGTGCTCTTGGCCTGCCCTCTTGGTGCTCTAGCTCCACAGCCTTCTGGTGGCTTCTTCCGGCCTGTATTGGCACCATGTGAGCTGGAAGCTGCCTGCAACCCTGCCTGGCCACCTTCAGGCCTGGCTCCCCACCTCACACATTACGCGGATTTATTGCCTGGTGAGTGCTGGGGTACTGCCTGAGCTGGAAACTCAGGGGCATGGAATTGGGCCAGTATGGATCCTCTTTCTCCCTCCTAGGCTCTCCCTTCCACGTGCCCCTCCCACCACCTGACTCGGAACTGTGGGACACCCCAGCTGTGTCACTTATTACTGGGGAACTCCGACCCCCACCTGCGTGGAAGCCCTCAGATGATCCTGGGTGTTTGGCCCTGACCTTGCGGCCCCAGCTAGAGCTGGCTGAGAGCAGCCCTGCAGGTAAGTGTGCCAAGTCTCTGCTCCCAGCTGAACTCTTTCCCCAGATTCAGCCCACTTGGCCTCAGTCCCCTCTCTCTGCAGCCTTGTTCCTTAGTTCCCGGAGCTGGCAGGGGCTGGAGCCCCGTCTGGGTCAGACACCGGTGACAGGAGCTGTGAGTGGAAGACGAGGGATTGCCATCGCCTACGAGAATGAGGGAAGCAGCTGATACCGTGTGGGGCCAGAGACACAGATGGACTTAAGAATTGCTGCAAAAACCTCCCTGCATCAACCTCACTCCTCTGCTAGGATCCTTGAAGGAGCCTGGATGCAGGGAAGAGCAGACAGCCCCTCATTGAGGAAGGGAATCCTGCTCTGTCCCTGTCCTGGCCCTGGCACAAGGCTTAGCATATAGTGGCTTAATAAATACCTGTTGGACTGATGGGACTTATTTGGGGCTTTCCTAAAGTCTTGTGGGCCCATCTGGGGGCCCACAAGTTTCTGGCCAGTCCCAGTTTCTGATGTGCAGTTGAGGGTTTACCCTTGTCAAAGGTTCTAGATATAGACCAGGGTTTCCTAACTTTGGTACTGTTGATGTTTTGGGCCAGATAAATCTTTGCTGTGAGGGGCTGTTCTGTGCGCTGTAGTATGTTTAGCACTGTCTCTGGCTTCTGCCCACTAGATGCCCCCAACATACCCCTCCCCATATTTTGGTGATAACCGAAAATGCCTCCAGACATTGACAAATGTCTCCTGTGGGGGCAAAGCTGCCCCTAGTTGAGAACCACTGGTCTACACCTGTGTTGTCCAGTAAAGTAACCACTAGACATATATGGCTATTAAACATGAATTTAAATTAGTTAAAATTAAAAACTCAGTTTCTCAGGGTGCCTGGCTGGCTCAGCTAGAAAAGCGTGCAACTCTTGATCTCAGGGTCATGAGTTCAAACCTCATGATGGGTGTACAGATTACTAAAAAAGTAAACTTTAAAAATAAAAACTCAGTTTCTCAGTCACACTAGTCACATTTCAATGGTCGTCTAGCCATATGAGGGGACAGTGCAGCTATAGGACATTTCCATTATTGCAGAAAGTTCTGTTGGACAGTGCTGGTCTGTACTGATTCTAATTTTGTTTCTCAGGGAGATCACAGACACTTGAATAAACTACTTTTTCTCCTTCTGTTTCTTTATATTCATCAAACACTGCAGGTCCTGAGTGGAGTTCTGAATTGTATTTAACTGGCTTCCTGTCCTCACAGTGTAGTTAGGAAGAGAGGCAGTTAAATAAGCAATTACAAGACAGTGAAACTACTTTCTGTGAGGAGGGAAGCCCCTGGGGGCGCTTCTTCATTACCAGGTTTGCAGAGAATCTTGGCCTACTGGCACTGTCCAAAGTGTTGAAGAAGCAGGTAAACAGGGAGATGTGGTTCTTGATCTCGGGGGTGCCCATTCTACTGGTAGAGGCAGATCTGTAAACTGACTGGCAGCAGACAAAATGGGCAGCAATTATGTATTTTACAAATATATATGGAGCACCCACTGTGTGCCAGGCACTGGGAATACAGTAAGCTCAACAGAAACCCTTTCATGGTGCTTACGTTCTTACGGGGGCTGGGGGAAGAGATGGACAAAATAAGATACTTAGTATGCCAAATGGTGATAAGTAAGTACTATGGAGGACTATAAAGCTGGGAAGGAGTGTAAAGGACAGTGGATTGCGATATTAAACAAGATGATTAGGGAAGGCCTTTTGAAGGTGAGCAAAGACAAAGGAGGTTATGGAGTGAGCCACATGGATAAGTAGAAGCAGAGGGAACAAATGCAAGGGTGTTGTAGTGGGGGTATGGCTGGTATGTCCAAGGAATAGCAAGGAGGCTAGTGCGGTTAGTGGGGGAGTATTAGATGAGATCAGGTAAGGGGCATGGGAAGCTGTATCAGGAGAGGCCTAGTATAGTAGTAGGCCATTATTAGGACTGTGATGTTTATTGAGTGAAATGGCATTTTATTTTGTTTTTATTAAAGATTTTATTTATTTGAGAGAGCACAAGCAGGGGGAGCGGCAGAGGGAGAGGGAGAAGCAGGCTCCCACTGAGCAGGGAGCCTGATGCAGGGCTCTATCCTAGGACCCCAGGATTATGACCTGAGCCAAGGCAGATGCTTAACTGACTGAGCCTCCCAGGCACCTCTGAAATGGTATTTTAAACCAAAGAGTGACATGATGGTAAGCTTCATAAGTATCACCAGGACAGCAGGGGAGCCCAGAGCAGGCTCATCACCCTGCCTCTGGGTTAGGGAAGGCTTCCTGGAAGAGTGCCTTCTGGGGACCAATAGGTGTTAGCTCGGCAAGGGGATGAACACGAAGAAGCTTGCTTCAGGCAGAAGGAACGGCATGAGCAAAGTTAGGAAGAGCAAGACACCCCCGCTGAACTGGAGAGGACAGCAAGGGAAAAGGCCCATGGAATCAGCACTGGCTTGGAAGCTAAGTTAGAGAGGCCCGCGAGGAGACCCCGGTGTAAAGAAGCAGGGCTGGTGAGCCCAAGTGGTGCTGACTGTCAGGGCTCAGGAGGAGCGGTTTGGAGAGACGTGAGAGTAACCGGCCAGAGGTCGAGGTACTAAGGACGCCGGAGCCTCTTCCGAAGCGAGGGACTACAACAACCACAATCCTCAGTGCTTGCAGTTCCGGCGTTGCCAAAGTTCTGGACTGGCAACGGCGCCGCGCAGGGCCGGGCGTGTGGTCACGTGGTGCCGGCGCGTCACGTGGGTGAGTCAGGTGACGCTGCGGGGCGGGTGGACAGACTGCGGGGCGGACGGTGGACGCAGGGACGTGGGTTTAGCTGTGGCCCCACGGACCAGAGCCCCGCCGTCGTTGCCGCCATGACGGGGCTAGCGCTGCTCTACTCCGGGGTCTTCGTGGCCTTTTGGGCCTGCATGCTCGTCGTGGGTGAGGCCGGGCCCTGGCGGGCGGGGCCAGCATCCGGGCCCTGCTGGCGGGGCTGGAGCCCAGCGGGAGAAGTGGGGTCCCAGGAATGCTAGGCCCCAGCGTGGGCTCTGTGCCCGAGGCTCCAGGACTTGCCTCACGCCTGTCGGGGCTTCTGACCCTGACAGAGGAGACCCGGATCTCCAGCCCCTTGAGGAGGGGCGCGGACGGGGGGAGGTGGGGGCCGCGAGAGCAGCCCCGGTACCTCTCTGTCACTACCGGCCCCTGCCCCCGTCTCACTGCTGCGATCCCTCGCTTGCTACAGAGGGGCCTGCTTGGGTCACGAGCCGGCTGTTGCAGTTCCTCTTTTCCCTCCCCCCACCCACAGCTTGTTGGGTAAACAGCGGCTCGGATCGGGCTGGTGGGATCCGGTGCCCTCTCCCTTTCTCCAGGGTATTCAGGCCTACAAGTAGCTGGTCGTGGAGGGTCTTGGTCTGGGAGGTGGTGTCATTGGGGGAAGATAGATTACTGAGGGAGTGGCAGAAAATGGAGGCCTGAACTGAGGAGTCTGAATCGATAGCCGTGCTTTCACACGGAGGCCAGCCTGACGAGTCTCCCTTGACTTACCTGTAGGCAGACCTTTGGGGACGTGGCAGCTGGACAGCAATTTTTGTCTAAGTTGGGAAGTTTCTCTCTCGAGAGCCGCCTCTAACCCTTTTTTTCCTACTCCTGCAGGAATCTGCTACACCATTTTTGACTTGGGTTTCCGCTTCGATGTGGCATGGTAAGGGCCTGCAGAGAGAGGACTCCTCTAGTGGCTTCTTTGCAGCTTTTCTTCACTGACCTAAGCCCCTACTCCACCCCATCCCCAGGTGCCTGGGATATGGACCTTTGGGACATATGATGTATTTTATCTCAGCATCCAGGACTGGTGGGCTTGGAGGGTTGGGGGATGGATTTTGTGCTCACTTCTCCACCAAGGCTGAAATTACTTTCCTCCCTGTTTCCACACCAGGTTCCTGACTGAGACTTCCCCCTTCATGTGGTCAAACTTGGGCATTGGTCTAGCTATCTCCCTGTCTGTGGTTGGGGCAGCATGGTGAGTATTGAGGTGGTGGGACTGGGGGGAGGGGTGAGTCATAGCAGGTGGTGTCACTGGGTCCTTAGTCATCCTGGGGGCAGTGACAAACTTGGGCTCTGCTCATCGGTTTTTTATCCTTCCACCAGGGGCATCTATATTACTGGCTCTTCTATCATTGGGGGAGGGGTGAAGGCCCCCAGGATCAAGACCAAGAACCTGGTCAGGTAAATGTAGGGCCTTTGAGGGTTGTCAGAACCACCTGCATTGGGAGCTCCCTGTTTGTTTGACCTGACATGCTGCTTCTGACCAGCCTCCTGGTGGGGTGGGAGATGTCAGTGGGCTAAATGTTGGCTGGGAACTCTCTGGGGGAGGAAGGTTGGTTTCTTTCTAATCCTTTTCTCCTCTCTACCCCCATGCTCACCACTACCAGCATCATCTTCTGTGAGGCTGTGGCCATCTATGGCATCATCATGGCAATTGTAATTAGTAACATGGCTGAGGTATGGAGAACCAGGGTGGGGTGGGCATCTACGCCAGTGTGTTCTTTTTTTTTTTTTTTTTTAAAGATTTTATTTATTTATTCATGAGAGACAGAGAGAGAGAGAGGCAGAGGGAGAAGCAGGCTCCCAAGGAGCAGGGAGCCCGATGTGGGACTCGATCCCAGGACCCTGGGATCATGACCTGAGCCGAAGGCAGACGCTTAACCATCTGAGCCACTCAGGCGCCCTACGCCAGTGTGTTCTATACAGTGTTTAGTGATACTGGAGGACGGGGGGTGGCATAAGGGGTGGTTTCTGATTACTTCTCTGCCTCCCGCAGCCTTTCAGTGCCACTGACCCCCAGGCCATTGGGCATCGAAACTACCATGCAGGTAGGTGGATGTGTGAAGGAAAAAAGCTGGGGCTTCATGTCTGCTTCCCCACTTTCATGCCCTGGCTTAGACTCATTATTTCAATATTCACTCCCTTTGTTCGGCCTGCTTTGCAGAGTTGAGAGTGGTGATAAGCCCCATTAGTCCATTTGGGCCCTTGTCCTCCTCTCCCCTTGTGCCTGGCTTGGCCTCAGTACTCTTTTTCTGTCCCCTCAGGCTACTCCATGTTTGGAGCTGGCCTCACAGTGGGCCTGTCTAACCTCTTCTGTGGAGTCTGCGTGGGCATCGTGGGCAGTGGAGCCGCCCTGGCTGATGCACAGAACCCCAGCCTCTTTGTAAAGATTCTCATCGTGGAGATCTTTGGCAGTGCCATTGGCCTCTTCGGCGTCATTGTTGCAATCCTTCAGGTGATGAATCCCCTGGGAGCCTGTGTCCTTGTCTCCAACCCAGCCTCACTCTCTTTCCAGAGGAGCCACGGTGTCCCCTTCTCCATCTGTAACCATAGAACCCCTGAGCAGCTCCCACCACTTTATTCCTATTTTTTGGTTTTCCTCTTTTGAAGCTTTCCAGCATGGTATCATTGACTAGTGTAATGTGTATTTCCCTGCTCCTTTGTGTCTATAGGGCTTTCGTTGAGGCTTTCTATTATTTTTTGTCTTTGTTTGTAGTCTAGCCTGGATTGGGATCTTGTCTGTGTGTCAGTCTGTCTTGGTGTGTTTGACTATGTGTCTCAAGGCCTGTGTGTATCTGTGCTCTCAGTAGGACAGTGTGTCTGAATTGTGTGCATCTTGTCTTAGAACGTGTAAGTGTTGCTAAGGATCAGCCTGATGGTCTGAATGTGACTGAGTGCTTAGCTGGGTTGATTCTTGCTAACTGGTCCTGTCTGTATGCCACTTCTCCATCTCTGTCCCACAGCCTAACTCTCTGGTTATCTGACTGTCCCTGTTCATCTGTGTTTGTCACAGCATGTCCATCTTGGTCCAGTCATCCATCTGTTGTGGTCTCTCCATCCCACCATGGGTTTGCTAGAACTGACCTTATGTCATTTGTCACTGTCTTATCTATTCCTCTGTCACTGCCTGATTTCTCCTTGTTCTTCTTTTGCAGACTTCCAGAGTGAAGATGGGTGACTAGATGATCTGTTTGGGTGGGGCCGTGTCCCACTCTTATTTATTTGTGGTTTTCCCAGGACAGCTGGAGCTGTCACCCTTGGCCTTTCAGGGGGCTTGGTGTTCAGGGCCCTTCCCTGCACTTGCTTCTTGCTGTCCATCAGCTTGGAGGCACTGCCTGGCTGGAGCCTCAGTGTGGGGAGTGGGTCGCCGATGACCGTGTGCAGCTGTGCACCTGTGTCTCACCTCTACCCCCCAACCCATCTTCCCAGTGTTTGTGAAATAAACGTGGTTTTTGTCTGGGTCAGTGCTGCTTCTCTTGCCCTCCTTCGCCACATTCTTTCACGGAGGGAGGGTAAAAGGGGCTGTAGGCCTCAACCTAATGCCAGCTTCTTGGCACCTTTCTGTCTCATATGCACTGTCTCTGCTCTGGACAGAGCTAGTTCCTGGGTGGAGAGGAAGGGTGCTGGGCTGAGGACTCTAGCCCTGAATATCTTTATTGAAAGGAGCAAGGGACTCGGGATATGGACCCAGGTGTTTGTGCAGGGGAGGGGGCTGTCCTCCTAGTCCCATGCCTTCAAGGTTCTGTCTGCTAAGCCCAGATGGGCCACATCTACTATGTGGCTCTACTCTCAGGCATCCGTCACCCTTCATCCCTGTGGGGCTTGGAGCCCGTTGATTTGCCTCTGCCTATCCCAGCGCCATTCCCTGAGCCCTTGTTCCCAGGGCCCTGTCCAGCTCCTCCCACTTCTGTGCAATCTTTTACCCACCTCCTGTTACCCTAGAAGCCCCTGCCACACACTTCTCTCCACGCCTTTAAGGGTCCTGCCCAACCGGCGGCCCCCTCCGCTGGCCGCTGGCAGGCCTTTAATCCTGTTACCTTCAGTGAGTTGACGAATCCCTACCCTCCCTGCTAGAGTCGCCTAAACTTCCAGGCCCCCTTCTTTGGCGGAGTTCGCGTTCCAGCCCACACCCTCCCCAGTCTGGACCCCGAATCCAACCTCTGGGATGAGCCTTACCGATTTCTTCCGCCCCTCTCTGGTCCCGTGCCACCTCTGTCCCCTCGCTCCGCCGCGCTTGGCCGCCGGCAGGGGCGGGCGGCGGAGGCGCG